GTGGTGGTGAACGCGTTACTCCCCGGAAAGGATAATAGCGCGTTCGTTCCCCACCATAGACACCTGCGGTCCAGAGTTTTGCAAATATCTCAGCAACGTTGTGGTTGTATTTCGCTTAGTAACCTGCCATGAAAATTATAGAAGGCAGAAAACAAAACGTTAAATATCCGTTAATAATTTGTTTTTCAACAGATAATCCGCCCTGCAGCAATCAGTATTATGTTAGCTGTTGCGTAGCGATTATCAAAGGGCAAACAAGCACACCGAGAAGACGAGCAACTGTGGACTGTCGACTCGGATCATCGGCTCTGATGAAGACAAAGCCTTTAAAACGTTAGCTGAATAAGTCTCTTTATCAACCTCATGTTAGCTAAACAGTCAAAGAAGATGTTATCTTTATAATGTTTTTAGCTTTGTTCTACGTTTTACAATGTCGGTAGGTGCTTTTGCCTTCTAATTATACTCTGAAGGAATTTTCATAGTTCAAGTGAAACATCGCCTTTCTGTTCCTACAAAATGTTCACAGTTTTGAAAGTCCTGTTTCGAGATAAGTTACTGTTTTCTTTATGAGAAGACAGAAAGTTGTTCGCACGATATTTATTTCACATTAGCTAACGTATCTTCCTTCAGACCCTGGGAAACTTGCTAATCAATGCTGGGGTTGACAGAGAGGAAATGTTGCCCAACTGACAAGTTACGAAGTGGGGATCAGGCCAGAAAATTATCAAGCGAAAATTTATGTTACGAGCTCCGCGATTACTTCCAGGTATTCACTAAGCAGTGGTAACCTCTTAGTAGAGATTGAACGTTATAGGTGGTCTGGTTGGCAGATATTTTTTTACGCGACATTCTTTTTTGGTAGAAAATACTTCTTATGGCCATGTTCTTGTAAAATGGCGATGCTCTTTAGTGTTTAAATATCCATCAAACGTTACCTAGAAAGTAGGGTCTGGTGCTCCAATAATGATGCAACAGGTTACATGGCAGCCTATCATACGAATTTCACAGTGACACAGTTATACAGCAAACAGTGATCACTGAGCAGAAGCAGACAGTACGTTTTTACTTTTATATCGAGTGTGGAGTTTTTATTTCAATGTTCGACACTCATTTTTGAGTGAGCTGCCTAATTTTTCGATAACTAGAGGACTTCAGGGATTGGGAACGTGGGAAAGTTATACAAAAAGCTTTGTCGCCGGCATTTTTGTGCATTTTGCAGCTTTTGTTTAGTGTATTTCGCTGTTTTTTGCAAATAGGCATTTAATACAATAACCATATTTCATCACAGCGATTGGAACTGAAATTTCAGTCAACTAGTGTTTAAAAATTAATGTTTGGAAGTCTCGCATAATAGACGATGCTGGTTTCCTACAACTCCCTATATTTCTTCGATAATTAGAGGACTGGAGGAGTTGAGGACAGCATCATAAATTAGACCTTGCTTTATTGTTCTGTGGATTTACATGTTAGAATATCGGACAGAATTGAACATGGATATTCTTAGCATGGAAAATAGTAATGAAATAGTTGATGTAAGGAACAGTGTGCTATCCATCCAGGAGTATGAAGAAAGTGAGCCGAAGACGGAACAGAGATGTTGATATGAAAACAGCGGTGAGTAGTCTAGCAATGCATTGCATGAAATCCACTGGATCTTTAACAGTAGGCATTCTGATGAGGATCCACAAATTTTGTTTACATGCCCAGAACCGGTAATTCTTATGAGTTATTTGTAGCCGATATTTTTCTGCTGGTAGTGATTTTTCACTGGTAGCGACCCTCTATAAGTTGGCATTTAGCATTGTCTTGGTGATGACGCTATATAGATGATTTGCCGAGTGAAAGAAGCATTCTCTATAGGCTTAATCAGTATGTAAGTCTTGCCTGGCATATTATTGCAAAGAACTCAGTTTTTTTGAAATATCTGTTGCGCAAGTTAGAAAGTACATGGAGCCGTGTAGGAAGCACTATTGTTCAAAATTTCTTGGAAGTGATTGAGAAATTGCGCAATTTTGCTAAGAATTGCAACTCTAAGTGAAGTGAAGATTTGATATAAGTAAGAGTTGTAATTTTTTTATAAGTTGTTGACTATAGGTTGGAATTAAAATTGTTGTGCGAACATTGTCCTAAGAACTGCAAGTTTTGTGTGAAGATCATTGATTCTGTGCAACTTTTATAAATAGTACCCGTGCACAAACTGCAGATTACTCTTCTACGATGGACCAAGTTCATCCTAGAGAAAAGTGGTCACTGTGTATCGAAATTGAGTGTTCAAGTACAGCAGAGAAGGTATTGCTCGAAATCAGTTCTTATGTGAAAAAAGTCCTACGTTGATACATCAAACAATGTGTGGTCTTTGGAATGTTCTTCACGTACAGGGTAGCTTTGTACAGTAATTAGGTCAACCAGTTAGTAAAAGACGTCACGAGTTTCGATGTAATTGTAGTAAATGTTATCTTCGTGTTTTAGGTAGACATGGAGGTATCGTCTGGAGATGAGTCCGATGATTACACTGATAGTGCTCGTGATCACAACTCAGCTGTAACTTCGCAAATGACACAGAAGTTCCAGCCAACTCTAGAAGAGAAAAAACGAATTGAAGAAAATATACAGGCTCTAATGAAAGAATTTGAACGAAAGCGTTTTGAAGAAAAAGTCCGGAGAGCGGCTGAGGTCGTGTCGAACTTGTTGAAGCAGCGGCCTACGGTTAGTAAAACCCCCATATTATATGTTATTCATCTATTTTATCTTTCATTGGTGTTAACAGCAGTATTAATGATCTTAGAATCAAAGTCATTAATGAAATTCTCATTCGCCATTTTAGTCAACTGCCGTGTCCACTATTTCGGAGTGTTCGCCAAGGGTTGATGAGACAAACTTAGCGGTAATTTCGTGAAACCTCTCGTGAACTTTCTAATTAACTAGCTCGAATCTTTTTCAAGTGTTCTGAACAAAATCCTGCTGCTGTTCTTGACGTTCAGAAAGTAGCTAGTGGTCCAAGGACGGTGACATGTTCTCCGCTTCCTGCATGCAGAGAAGCAGATCATCAGCAAAAGTCATCTGTGGTAATTTACATTGTCTTTATGAGTAGCGGGTGAATGTTCAGTTAAACCACTATTTCTTTCAAGGATGAATCGCAGTCAAGAAAATGTGAGAAAGACGATACCGGTTGCGAACTCCCATCGTCATCAGTTGATGTACCCCCTGTACCTCAGTACGAGGAGATTGAGCAGTGCATCTATAAAGTCGAAAGTAGAAAGAAAGCAGTATCTCTGATGTATGTTTTTATATGATGTGTTATCGTTTCAATTCCGTCCACGAAGCGAACCAATTTGCAGGTGTTTTTGTCGAAGTAATAATTTGGATTGTTCTGACGGTAGATGTGATAATAGAGCAATGTTTACTGAATGCCCCAAAAATTGTTTGGGGAAAGGAAATGATTGCAAGAACAGGAGGTTCGCAAAGGTTAGTATTCTTTATTGATTATTTCTGCTATGAGGTAATGTTTGAATTAAAACTTCGGGATTTTTTCCTGAAGTATTCAAATAGAATTAAAAATAAAAACCAATTTGTTGGGTTATTCCGCCTCAAGGATTCCTCCTCTTACTGTATTTAGAGAGAATACGCAGCTGTCCAAGCTTTCTACACGGGACCTAGCAAAGGATTTGGTGTTCAGGCAGTTGCTCCCATTAAAAAGTTCGTGTGATCGTTTACTATATATTTTTAAGCATCAATATGATAATTGTATGATGTGGAAAATGTGCTGGAATTAGTCGTTCTCGCAACTCTACACACTGCAGTTTTTGAAGTACCTGTACATTCCAGTTGAACACTTTCTTAGTTTAACATAATTTTTCCATAACAGAGGTCAGTTTATTATCGAGTATGTAGGCGAAGTGGTCTCTTCTGAAGAATTCGCTAAGCGCTTGAAGAGGTAAACTTTCTACTGCTTTGCAACCTTGATTTTCTGCTCTTGGAAGTGTACAATTCAGATATGGGCGCGATCCGTCGCATACCCATCACTATATGTTCGAAATAGGATCAATGATTATTGATGCGACAAAGAAGGGCAATTGTTCTCGTTTTATGAACCATTCTTGCGAGCCTAATGCAGTTTGTGAAAAGGTGTGTCTATCAGCAGTATGCCATTCTATGTGCTACTCCGAAATCATAGAACTGTTCCAAAAAATTTAGGTTTAGTGGTAGTGGACTGTTCTTTTTGCTATCTCGTCCTATGTATTCATCGTCTTGCAGTGGTACGTTCCACGGACTCCGTGCGCTATTGACAGAATCGGTTTTTTTGCGAAGAGGGATATCGAGCTTGGTGAAGAGATTACATTCGACTACCAGTTCGAAAATTATGGGTTAGTTCCTTGCCTGGATTAGTGGGTCGAACTTTGTTGTCTGTTAATTAAGCTTATTGTTTCGATAAGGTTTAAGAAGAGAAGCACAACGATGCTTTTGCGGTGCAACTACATGTTCTGGATGGATAGGAAAACCCCCTGAATTGTTAGATGACATTGATGAAGATATGGAAACAGAAAGTGAGGATTCTGATGGAAGTACCGATGAAGACACGAAGGTGATGGTGAATTAGGTTGAGTTTCATAGTGATATGTTGATTAATATCGTCTGTTCCAGTCAGCTGAGCGAATTCTTCCTCGTTGCAAGAAACCTCATCGCTATGGTGAAAATGTTTTTGTGACAGCAGCTGAGATAGAGGAAAGGCTTAGTAATGCTCTGTGGATTGGTTGCCGCAACAAAACTCATGTTCTAAGTTGGATGAAGCTAATGGTGGGTTCGGTACAAAGTTGTGGAATGTCTTCAATAGCTTTTGTATTTTCAGACGGAAATGACTCTTGTGAAGAGAGAACAAGGCGTCGTGAGATCAATGTGTCAGATTGTTGAAGCTGTAAGCTCAGTGGTATGTAGCCCTCTATTCTTTTTAAGCATTTAGGTATTGGATTTACTTTGAATTTTCATTTTTCAGGATACATCATTGCAACACATATTTGTCGCAAATGGTTTACCTAACATTTTCAAATCATGGCTGCGAACAGCTTCTCCCGAAACTCTAACTCGCGATGATCTCAACTTAAAGCAATGTATAATCCGTTCGCTACTTGCAATGCAGTCATGTGCTGAAGCTATCAATGTAACTATTTTATTTCCATCTTTTATTCTATGTTTGAGACTAGAGAGTTCCGTTTGAAATGATTTGTTTTAAGTTTTACAAAAGAATAGTAGCTTTCTAATTTAAAAAATGTGGCATCGAACATTAAATATGGTATCAAAGATATTGCTACTTACTGGAATACTTGAGTATCTAATGATCACATAGTTATGGCCTAAGAGTAGTCTGTTAGACTTTGCTGTTACCGCGCTCACTGTCCAAATTAGTAGCTTTATTGGCTAGGCCTATGTCACCATTTGTATCAGCCCAAATCTCGTTAGACATCAGCCCGAGTAAGTGAATGTGTTCTCTCTTTGACGAGAAGGCAGTGGTTCTCTATGTAAAAGATATTGGCGAAAATCAGATAGATATCATTACCTCAAGACAATGAATAGCGTCATATTTTTGGTAGGAAAGCCTTTATTTTTACTGTATTTAGAGAGAAGACCACTAGTGGCTCATAGTGCCGTTTCATGTCATAGGTTCGTTTTTAAAATATTGAATTCCTTCCCAGCATGAGAAGCCCTACTGTGGGGTGAACCATTGGTGACACATCAGAGTTCCACACCCAGGAGCACTGCGACACATTGAAGTAGGAAAGTGTTGAATTTTTACGAAGTTATAGTCTTAGGAATATGTATTGCGTATTACAAAGTTGGTCGACAGAGATACAACACACAATCAACAAACATCACGTTTCTATATATTTATTTCCAGTAATCTCTGTTGTGGAATAGATCACGGTTTCAGGCTCGCGCACCTGATCTTCTAACGATGGTCTCTGATCTTGTCTCGATGTCCTCCCCTGATTCTCTTTCTGTAAAAGATGTAATAGACGACATATTATGCAAAATCAGCAACGGAGAGTATTCATGTGAACCCAAAGTATGCTATTCATCAATTTTTCATCGGTTTTTATATAACACTAGATTCACTGAAGTATTGTGTTTAAGCGTTTCCATGAATCGCTCGAACTCGGCTTCGAGCGAGTGAGAAATGCTGCTATTAGGCTGCAGGCCGTCCTCCAACAACATGTAAATTTCCGTATTCCAAAGAAGGTGACGTTCTTCTCCGATTTGGTCTAAACTTTCATTCATTATAGAATTCGTGGTTGTTTTCAGAAAGCTAAAGGACTATCTGAATGGAGTAATGATCAACTTTTAAGAAACGATAGTCATCAAGGTTCTAGGTACTTTAGTATCGCATTATTAGTGTTATTTTGACCGTATTGCATGAACGGTTGAATTTACAGATTTGGCGACAATCAAAGTCCTTCGCTTCGTAAAAATGGCGACCAAAGTGAATATGCTTCAACAGTGCATGATCGTGTCAACATTAAGGTTATACAGAGGAGGCGTCGGTTGCGAGTGTCTCGATGGAGCAGTGGTGAATGAGATTTCACTTTCTCTAAGACAAACATTTCTGTTCTTCCCATGAGTACTGTCACATCCATCATACTACATATATCGAAAAACAGTCGTAAGCATATGCGAAGTATTCCGTTGCCAAAAATCTTGTCCCAGGCCAGTGGAAGGGATAATCAGCTTCGATTCAGTGACTACCTATTCACATTTTTAACTCCCTCCTATCCATGGAAATCAGTTGTTGTGAGCACTGCCCTATAGCATGAACAATATTTTTTCTCGAAAACGATGACAGGCATTGCACTTGGTCTTGCATGCGTATCTTTAGAACGAATATTTACATGTTTTAGTGTTCTCTCACATTTTTTGTAGTGCTCACGTATACCGCAAATGCTGCCACGTAACTGGCACGTTATTCATTTTTTTTCTTTGATTCGTTACCATCTTTTAACGAAACAAAAGTCCTGTAGTCATCAATTTTTAGTTAGCATATTCCCGATACGCGGCGTTTAGAGGTCCAGCCTCTTAGGAATTTCCAGCGTTTACGGGCTTACTAGTTTTTCAATGATAAACAGTAATTTTTCGATAGCATGAGGACTTAAAGGACTATGAACATTACAAGATTATAGAGGAGGCTTTGCTCTCTCGTTGTATGGGTACGAATGATATATATATATATATATATATATATATGTTGTTGTTTACCTATCATGACTACTTACTATGACCCATTATGCGTATACATTTCTGCAAACACTATGGAGGACTTGGCAGCTTGTTTTGAGTCTGTTTCGTTATTTCTTACATTTTTATTTCTTCCATACAATAACCACGATCTGTCTTAGCGGTTAAAGTAAAATAACAGTCAGTTGATATTCAAGTTACGGGTCAGTTAACTTGTCCTCAAAAAGGTTTTTTCTGTAAGAACCCCATTTAAATACATATGTTTTCAATTAGCCATCAAATGAATATACATAGTGTGGCAAAGAAGTTTTGTAATCCAATGAACTGAAGGAAGGAATTATCGTCCATTCGAACCGCCGCCTTTGGACGTATACGTCTAAATGGTCGCGAATATTGTAATACTCACAGTAGTTGTGATTCATATTGTAGTTAAAATAATAATAGTGGAAGCAAGTAGTAGTAAGGGTAATAATAATGGTAGAGCTAGCAAGTCCCAGGACCAACTTTCAGGACTTCGGCAGGACTTTGGTCAATAATTCACTGTTTTCCTTTCCTGATGAGCAGACATGAAGTTGTTATTACAATTCACAATAGCCGATTTCGGTGGTTTCGTCTTCTTCAGATCCTGGAATGGTCAAATTGACATGTAATCTGCTCAACCAAACACTTTTCTAATCCGAGGAGAAAAAACTCGATACATAGATTTCATTCGCATGAGATGCCAATAATGATAACGTAGTAACAGTTTTAAATTGCAATAATAATAAACTAATACTAATAGCAACAAGCAATAATAATAAGACTAAGATGAAGATATCATTAACTTTGGGAGGAAGCATTTCTAATACACACAGAATTCTTGTGTCGGTTTCAGAAAATAGCCTAAGTATTTGCTTATCAATATCTTTGTCGTTTAGTCAATATCAAAATTATCTGCTGTTAAATTTGAAGGGACGTCTGACTATCTCACTTCCAATATACTTCCAATTCTGTACTGTATGATGTTGCAGATTATCGGCCACGAAAACAGATCAAAAGTCCATCAAGAAAGCAAGATGATATGGAAGTTATCCGTTGTAGGATAGATCCTCCCGTGACAGGCCTTCCTCCTTCGGTTTCTGGAATAGATCAACCACCTAAACGGAGCCGTATAGATGATGAGCCCATAATAATCACCACTGTGATACCAAATGTAGGCTAACAGTTGCTTTTAGTTTTCCATAGCGACTATTCATTGAGGTGCAAAATTTTTACACTGTTTTAGTGTGCATAAATATATTGTCATTTGTAGTGGACACCGCCCACCGTACCAACTAATATTCCTCCTCCACCACCACCTCAGTTAGTTTCTCCATCGCAAATGATGGTACCTCCCCCTCCACCAGCAATGCCTCCCGGTTAGTCATAATTATTGCAACGTATCCATTTATTCCAGAATTCTTCTAACAGTTATCCTTTATAGTGTATCCACCTGTAATTCCGTTTTATGAATATGGACCATATGCTGCACCTCCTATCCAGAATTTACCGAACTACCAAGCTTATGAGTGCTCTTCGGCTAATGTGGACTTCAACTCGGACGAATATCGCAAGTATTACGAGGCCTGCGAAATATCGTCGATAGAGTAATATGTTTTTCTCGTTTACACTTTGATGTTTTTCGTGTGATTACGTAGCTCTTATTATGTTTTTCCAAAAAAAAATTCTGAATCCTTGTAATTTTCAGGCGTCGACTTCAAAATGTGATGAAAGAAATGTCGATATTACGATCAATACTTGACCAGAGAACGAAAAAGGTTTGACGAGATCAACTGTAACAGTATAGCTGGAATCTACGTTCATTAGCACACTCCTTACCACGTCTAATTTCGTTGGCGTCCGACCAGCAGTCTGCTTAACTTTCAGTTGAGCACTATATGAGTTTAACTCAGTGGATGCGTTGTATCTATCCAACTTTTTTGGAACATTCAGACCTAACAGCATTTGTAGTCGAGAAACTTTCGATTAGATTTCGATTAGACGCAAAATTCTAGCAAAAATTCTATGGGGTTAAATGACTGCCGGACAGAGCATACGATAAAATCGGCCCTGTATGTTATTATTTTTTCAATGTGGAAGTGTTGCGAACGTTTTTGAACCCAGCTTCAGGCTTCATCGTTCTGTGCTTTTCACGTCTGTTAACTATTCAGAAGGAAGTTGAACCACCTGTGGTGTCGGCATCGCAGCCATGTGCTGTTGAAACTCCACCACCACCACCACCGCCACACAAGGAATATATGTGGAAAAAAGCCGTTGATGAAGACGGTGCAAAATATTACTATCATAAGGTAATAGTCACTAGATCTGATTATTTTATTAGTTCTTCGTGTTTTTGTTGAGCAAGCACGAGGTGTTATTATTCTTTATTCACGAATAAGCTGACATTTCGGCGGATTTCGACATAAAAAGCGGCTCTGAGGAAAGCGAAATCCGCCGAAACGTCAGCTTATTCGTGAACAAAGAATAATAACACCTCGCGTTTTTTCAACAAAAATTCGAAGAATTACTTGATCAATGCCGAGGTTAATAGAAAGTCGGTCGTGGGAGTTATTTTATTAGTTATTCGTTCTTATAAATGGATTTTTTGTCAGGAAACACGTGAATCTGTCTGGGAGCTTCCCGATGGTGAATACAGCGATCCAGGAGAACGAACACCGATTCGTATGCCAGATACATCAGGTTGTGGAAATGAACCAGAGTCGGAGAACGTTGAATCGGCAGTTCAGTTTGTTGCTTTGAACATTTACAATGAACACTTGTTGTCTTAGTGAAGGACTGCTTTTGTTTATTCATTGATTTAGAATAAGCAAAGTGAAGGAAGTCTTCTGTCTCGGTGGTCTGCGATATGCTCACCGCAGGTATCGACTTCTAGCACCCTCCAAGCTGTCCAATCGGCACCGTCTACCAATGCTATTCAATCAATTAATGGAATTTCACAAAAAAGTGAAAAGAAGCGTGATCGTGATGGAAGAATTTGGGAGAAATTTGAGACCGACGTCGATCGAAAACGTGCGAAGGTACCACTACATTTTTATCTATTTCTTTTGTGGTTGTAACATTCTTGTTCAGACTACAAATTAACCAGTTGAAAGATTATGTATACATATATATATATATATACATATATATATATATATACGTACATATGTATATATAAATATATTACATGTAGTAGTTTTAGAAACTCATGGGTGACATTGAGAAAGTTGTTGGACCGATCATAATGCGTTATATTGCTCATAGAAATGATGCTACAAAGAAACGGAAAGAATGGATAATAAAGCAGGTTGGCATTTAACTTTTTTCTAAATCCAATTTTCTCGAGAGTTAAAGTAAAGATCTGATATTGCTAACGCATTTAAAACTAGTTCTCATTCTCGGTTTTATTTTCAGGTAAGTAAGGAAATGCTAAAACGTGAGTCAGGACGCCCAGATTTCAACTTTTCATTGACAGAAAAAGGCTCGAAGCGGGTGCGTTTATGTTGTTACAAATTTCTATCTTAGAGTATCTTACTATCTTGGACAGAGTAGCGACATTGCTATTTAAAAGGTAATTTAAACGTAAAGACTTGATTTTCCAGGTTACCGATTATGCCACTGCTTTCATACAGCGTAAATGTGCCAAAGAGCCTAGAGATCTTTGGAAAGGATACGAGGGTTCTCCTTAGTATAGTTTTTAAAATATGACCGTCGAATATTACACTGCCCCACATAACACCTCTGGTCTTTGTTTTCAAATTCTCGAACAAGGTTGGTCGTATTTATGCACTTAATACTTTCATTTGATGTATAATCCAATTTGTTTCATATAGGTGGACTATTGTTGCTATTGTTTGTAAATCTCTGGCGATTTTATATGGAATGAGTAATAACTGAGTAACTGGCTATCTAATTTAGGTATTATTGCTTCTGCACCTATAGTTTTATTGTTGACACTTATATGTATTTTGGTGTTGAAGTATTTCTAGGACTCTTTACTCATAGCATGCTTAGCAATTATTGTTAGCGGGCCATGGTCCCATCTAAACCTGTTCGTTGTCTATGAAAATTCATGAAAATGCTAGCAATGAGTGTTTCATCAAAATTTCTAATACTAAGATGTCTCGTTTTTGCAGCATTGTGCTTGCATTCACATGTTTGGTTGTGCTGGCAAATAGTCTTTCACAAATAGACTATTATTTAATATGCTGTTATTGTTCGTCATGATTTTCTCTCTGAGTATCGAGCTCTACTGCATCCTCTCAAGAGTAGTACAAATTGGTGATAAATGTTGCAAAATCGCACAACGTTTTCTTCTTGGGTATTACCCGAAATCATTCATTAAACAAATTCCTAAAACAAAATTAGAAGGATGGCAAAGAGATCAGTGGTTCATGAATTTTGTTTACTTTTACTTACTAGTTACTTGATCTAAGAGAACGGCAACGCAGGATGGAAATGTGCGTTAGACAGTAAAATGAGTTTTATGGTTGGGTTATGTTGACACTATTTTTGACGCCTTGGTGCATCTGAAATCGTTCATGGACTTTCTTTGTAAAAGCTCGGTTTACAGAGTTGTAGATGTCAAAGTGTAGAGTGAAGGTACGAGTGGAACATATGCAGAAAACATTCTATGAGCGACTTCTTTATGTTTGGCGTCAACAAACTGAAGACAAAAATCAGAAGTTCGTTATCTACAAGGCGTATGTCAATCTGAAGAACTACCCTTTAGAAGTACGCACCGTTGCAGAACTGAAGCATATCCACGGTTTGTTTAAAAGATCGAGGCATGCGTTGATTTAGTAGTTTTACGTTAGTCTAAAATTCGGCAATAATAAAGAATTATGTAGTTATTAGTATTTACTGTACAACACGCGAGCAATGATTAGTAGTTACAAACCTTTTTTCCGCGAAAAATTGCGCAGCAATACGTTCGGGTTGATTGACTAAAATTTGCGCTCTAGGCAGATCAAGCTTGCCAAACATCCGTTGTGAGCAGCAGATTTTTCACGGGTAATAACATAGGATCGATACATCACTGGCCGTCTTCATTTGTATATATATATATATATATATATACAGCTATGGAAATAGAGTGAAGTCTATTGTCTAATCTCTCATGTCCTAACCTTTCAAGTCTTCTAATTATAGAAGACTGTTCTTTCTTTACCATTCACAATCATGAATCATGGTTATCATATGGAGTCGGTGGATACAAAAAATACAAACATATATTCTACATATGTTGGCAAGCGAACTGACAAATGCTGACAGAACCTTGGGACCGTGTAGTACGTATGCCGTGGATGTTCAGTGAACATGGAGATTAATGTGGAGGAATTAGACATGAGATGGAGAGCAGAGTGGGCTGCATTGGGTCCTCTGAGAAACTACCAAGTAACTAGCGGAACCAGAACTCTACGCCCACATTTTCGATCTAGTGGTCCTCCCAGAGCTCTGTTATGTAGCAGAAGTGTGGGCTGCTACTTCAACCATGTCAGGAAATCTGCGCAGTGGCCTCAGAGTGCTTGAACAATGCCTTCGTAAACCTAACCGGCACACACAACGTCTAACCGTAATGCGCAGCTCAGATATTCGAAGTATATCACATCTTCCGGATCCTGGATAATCCGCATCAATAGTGAAGCACAGATGGGACGGGACGGTCACACAATGAGAAGAACAGATGAAACAGATGAAAAGAACAGTAGAGGGACTTCAAATGAATGCAAGCCTCTTATTGGAAGACCATCCATCGATAGGTGGATGTGTTTGTTGCTAGTGTCAACCTTCTGATTTCGCAGATAGAAACGCTTCTATGAAATCGAAATGGGTCCTAGTGGACGTTACAATGTTCGAAGCACAACACCACTATGGACTAGGATTGCGCGAGAGAGAAAGGAACGAAAACTATGGCGCAGCCCGCACCACCGGTTAAAACGGGCAATCCAAGTCTAGCACCGTAGTTGTGTAACGGGCGAGTTTTTTCATCATGCACAAAGATTCGAAGTTTGCTAAAAGCATGATGTGGAATAATTAATGGAAGAACTTAGACGATACATGGAAAATAAAGGAATCGAAACTTCCAAAGACGTTCGTAGAGAAACCAGATTGTGGACCTAAAAGTACAGTAGGGTCAAGAAAGGGGTTGGAGGGCAGATCAACTGGTATGACTTAACATCAACTCATAGCGCGTGCGACGAGAAAATTTTTTATCAAACATGTAGTATGGATTCAAACGTAGGACTCTATGTGTTAGATATAAGTGACGCAATTATTTCCGACCATTCATGTCGTGCAGAATGTGTTAAGGGAATTTCGAAGTAGTGTTGAAAACACAATAAGTGCTTGGAATGGTGGAAGAATTACTGTATGCCACATTTTATAATTAGGTCAATAATTACAGGCATTGGCGAAGCACTTGCTGCTCGTTGCTATTTGGCATGGGAAGCTGCATGTGCATCGTGTCCAATTCTTGATCTCAAAATTATCAAAGGTTTGAAAAATGGTGAGCGGTTGTAAAAACGCCTCCTTAAACATTATTTGAAATGATTGGTTTTTATGAAAAAGGACGGCAGAGCCTTGTTCTTACTGCATGGTTTTAATTTATTCCATTGTTCAGAGGATTTCATCCGTTTTATTGAAGTTGCTAAAAGAAGTGGTTCTATAGAAATACCGCCACCTACAAATAGAACAGCTAGATTAAGCAAACGAAGTGGCAAGATATACCCTGAAAAAGAAGTAAGTTCGAATTAAATACTAGCGAGTAACTTTAGCATCGTTACACATATTAGTGAAACAAGAAAGATTTTTGCTACGCACTTTGATATTTACTTGATACCTGAATGACCCGTCCTCACTGGTTGTGCGGGCCCCAGTATAATCTCCACTTTCCGTAGATTTGCTGTTTAAGCCATTATGGTTCCCTGGAGTCCCGAGGTCAGCCTGGCCAAAGTCTGCCCCAAGTCGTCACCGCCACAGGTAGTCCTTGCGGATCAGAGGGAGATTTACCAGCATGCGACTTTGATACGTGGACGGTGGTGGATCCTGGTATTGGTTTACCCTTAGTTAGGCTTCCTAATGGAAACGCCGGACACCTCAGTTTGGGAGACCCTGCCAGGGGATGAATCTCCCGCTGTACATCGCAGCCCAACACGCAGGAACACCTCTCAGCCACGATGAGGTAAAATAAACCGTTGGGAGGCTACGCACTTTAGTGGTAATCAACTCCGAAGTATATTTTAGAATTACTGAACTATTTAATTATCGCAATGCATGATTTAAAGGGACGAAAAAATGAATTCTTGTACGAACCTTGGCACAAATCTTGAAGGAACAAGGGTATCGGCAGCTTGGATGGCACGAGCTAATTTCAGATCATGGTGCTTGTGGAAAAAATTAGAGATCGATTAGATGCGGTGCCACATGAAATCAACGATTAGTGATCGACGCATAAATTCGTAAGAATGGTAGATATCAACTCACACCGGCACCATGGATCTTCTTCATAGAGGGATTTTATGCCGGTTAGTTACGAGGCAACCTGACACGTCTCCAGATGATGGAGAATGGGTCAATCGCGGATCAAGAGCGACCTTTGCTTCCCTAAGACGCAGGTGGATTCAGATGATGGACCCACTGTTTGTGCTCCTCCGATTTGCCACGTACCTTTCTTCTGTTTGTGAGGACGGCCTCGTGCATTCGTGTGTGGGTGTGCCGTCTTTTGCGGATTGCATTATGTGAGTCAATTCGGGCAAATCCTGCCATCAGATAGCAAGGAAGTATATGGCAGACGGTTAAGAGTCACCTCCAGCAGATAACCACCCCCGTATACTTATACCTAGTCCCCACGTTCAGAGCTCAACAGGCTATACGTATGTGCTAAATTCTAAACACAGTAAAGCAGGTGGGCCTCATCCATCTGAAGATCTCCGATACGGTAACACTGGATAGGACGAGTGCGAAGAGGCTGTTGAAATCTTAAGGCCATTATAGGGTGCAGGACTAAGGTGACGATTTGTGCCTACAGTGCACGCTTACTTGCATTGCTGGACGCGGGAGTTCCCCATTGGAGAGTACCTTAACGAGTTGGTCCAAAATTCTTCATGAGATCATGCCATCTCCTCCTTCGCGCAACATTCCATTTCTTGCAGAAAGGAGAAAAAGCCGCTAAATTCAAAAAACCAAGTCCTGAGACGCCATAGACTGGGTTCCATTCAGTTTAGTTCACTAGTAGGCTCGTGGAAATATGCCGTTCTTGATATCATCGACGAGGAATATGTTCAGCTCGTTCAATATCTTTACATTAGCGCTATGCGAGCTGAGAGTTTGAAAGTCACCAAGCCAGAAACACTCGAGCTGAAACGCCAGCGTGGAATACGAGTTACAGGCAATCGCCACCTCATCCTCTAATTTGCAAAACAACGCATACAGGCGATAAAAGAAGATCTTAAGGACAGAAAAGCAGCAGTTATGGTCGAAATTGCTCAGGCTTCGTAAAGCATTCACAAAACCCACCGAAGATTCACCAATTACGGTACCAACATGATTGCACTCCGTTTTCAGACGTAACAATTACAGCTTCCAGAAAGGCAATGGAGAAATTGTTGCTCAGATCTCTTCAATAGGCACCTCATCCTACCCTCACACGAAATAGAGCATAATGAAGGTACCATCTCACTGGTTATTGCTTCCAAAATACGACGTGCTATTTCGTCGATGAAGAATCGAAAAACACTATCTCCGGAGAGGGTAGGATTTGAAGACCCGAAGAACCTTCCGCCATTACATGTAAACACACTGACTCGGCTCTCCACACGTTACCTGTTAGAATGTAAGGTTTTTATTCAATGGAAGATCAGCAAGACTGTGTTCTCGTCAAGGAATGGTGACAACCACGATATCGGTAACTATCGCCAATTCTGCGTGCTGTCTGTCGTCTACAGACTTTTCACTCGAGTCATCCTAAAGTGGATTGACAGAACACTGGACGAAGGACAGCCATCTAAGCAAGCAGTATTTCGAACACGATAGCAAGACTCATTGAAGTATCACGAGAGTACAAAAGGTCGCTATTTCTCACCTCCATTAGTTTAAAAGGAGTTTTTGACTCAGTTAAGGTAGAAGTATTCGTGGAAGCCCTGGAAAGCCAAGGTGTCCCTACTCATTATATAAAGATTCTTCATGAGTTGTATAAAAATTTCACAGCCAAAATACCACCATTCTAAAATGATATTAACACTGAAACGGAGAACGCAATCCAATACCATTTCTCCAATAGTTTCGAAAACTGATGGTTGGCAATTACACCACCTTCGCTTTGTTGATAACATCTTTCTTACATCATCAAGTATTGCTCAGGCGGAGCAAATGCTTGCCGAGTTTGATAGCACATATTGGAAGATTGGTCTTCGGCCAACTCTTGCAGAGACTCATCATGATGAACCACTTAGCTCCAGAGTTGATCAGGAGGAATCGAACGGTTTAGGGAGCTTTCCGTCCTCGGGACGTCGGGATATAGTGAAGAGAAAAAGAGCACCCCACACCATGCCCACGTTTTCGATTCCGCGATTCTTCCTGCTTCAACGTATGCGTCAGAGACGTAGTGGCTACGTAGGCAGAATGAAAGGTCACTCATCGTTATTCAACGCTCAGTCGAAGATCGATGCTAGGAATATCCCGTATTACACAAGTAATTGAAGGGATCCATAGCTCCAACGTGCTTTCAACGATCCGAAATCGGACATGCCGTGATATACGCCGAACTGCGGTTTTCTGTGTGATAGTACTGTATATTGCTTTTGCTAGTACTTTCGGTGGGTATTTGTTTTGACACATCCTCTGTTCTGCAATGTATTTATTCATGTTTTCGAAACATTTTGAACAGTTTTGTGACGAAAAGAGAGCCACTGCTATAGAACTAAGTTGTTGTCAGCATTTGGTTGTTGGTCTCACAACACATGAACTATACGTCGGACTTTTTTTTGTAAATACTCACAACATAATCATAGTTATGATCTAGCATAGTGATTCGAAATTAGGTAACAACCGTTTACTGACCAAAAGGTATGTGAAACTTTTTAGAATTGTTGTTTCCATTTTAAGTTTTGTCCGAAAGACATCTTCGAAAAACTAATAAAAAGTAACGTTAGGAACAGGTTCTATCGCCTGCAAAAGATTGGCATTTCATCCTGCGAGAGTGAAATAGCTCCTATCTTATTTGCAGAGATCTGTAGATCCCAACATCCTACGTATTAAAGCAGAGATATGTTTACCCAAAAATGGAAAATTGAATACCAGCATATATCCCATATACGTTATCACACCGAACCGACTACCGAATGCTAGCGGGAAGGACTGTAGCTGTACAATGGGCGAGTTCTTTTTCGCCATTCAGCCGTTCGAAATGCTACGAAATCATGGACCATGCATAAAGAAATTAAGTGATAAGTTGGAAGCAAAAATACTGAAATAACTAACGAAAAAAGTTGGAAAACCGGCTTATGGATGGAAAAGTACAACAACAAAGGCTGGGTCGTTTGCTGGAGAGGGGAAGGCAAATCGGACGGCATGTCAACTCCTGCGTGGTAGCGTGGTGTGGTGAAAAATGAGAAGTCAAATCAGGCAGCCACATTTGTTTAAGCATTAGATGCTAAATATCAGTATAAGAACTTTTTACTTTGTAAATATGGTTCTTTTTACTCAATGTGGGAAAACATCGCAACTGTTCTGTGACAACATTATTCATCCAGATTATCTAAATACTAAGAAACTGTTGGAATTCCTTCAAGATCCGTATGTGGTATAAATCATATTCATCGCTGAAATGAAACTTCGATCCAGTGGAGTTTAATTTAGGGAGAGGTGATGCTACAGAAGGAGACGCTGCAAGTTTCCGTTGCATCTAATCAAGTAGATGATATAGTGATCAAACAATATTCCTCTGAGGAATCGAACGCTAAAATGCTATTTGTATCAGTTGTTGGAGACAACACCTATGAAGAGACGCACTTTGCCGTCTGTAGACCATCTGAGAAAGCCGAAGTGAGTCATTTTGCATCTTTGCTTATTTATTTTATGGCGTGACTGTAATCAAACTTTCAATTGCGTCATCCCTCTCAACCACAATTACGGTCGTTTAGTGTATGTCTATATACACATATACATGCACATATGTATGTATATATATATGTATATGTTCGTATATACATGTGAATTATATATATATGTACATTTGTGCATATATATATATATATATATATATATATATATATATATATATATATATA